TTACATAAAATTAAAAAATAAATTCATGATTGTTTGATTTTTTTATGTAATAAGATTTTTTAATTTTGTGACTGGTAATCAGGTATGGAGCTTTCACAAGATGCTAACAATCGACTAAGACTTTTTGAAAAAGCTGCTGTTGATACTTACTTGGCTCAGAAGTTTGTGAACGAGAGAGAATTTTTAGACAACAGAGTAGCAACAACTGCAGAAAGGTAATTTGACTTCCATTATTAAAAAAATGGTTATAAGCTGACCATATAAAATAATGTTCAAATGGGCAACAAATCTATTTTTAAAAACATTTTGAGGTCTAGACCCCACCTACATGTCATCATTCAATGTACGTACATTTATCAAATGAAAATTGTATAATTATAACCTGGGGATATGAAGACCCCCATTTCCTGTTGTTATTTTTTTGTTTCCTAATCACTGAGTAAATGATGTTCATTAGCCTGGAGTTAAAAAGATCACATAGTTTATTTTTTGTCCCCTAACAGGCTGGAGCATTTGATGGCTGACCTCCAGATGGTCAAAGAATACATCCAAAGAAGCCAGTCCTTGTGTGAGAAATGCAAAGATACCTCATAATCTGTGACTTTCAAATTATATATAATCTGTGATCTTCTCAGTAGATTTTTATATTTATTTAAAGATCTTTTTCCAAATCAGTGCTATTTATTTTTAAGCAGTTGTTTATGTAACCAAATCATTTATTTAATCAAATCATTGCTATTTTGTTGTAAGCTGTTTTTTATGTAACCTAAGTTCAACATGGAAACGATTGTGTGCTTTCACGTGGTTATAATTAAAATTTGTATATCCAATGCAAAAAGAAAGCATAATGCATTTAATAGTTTAACAAACACCCTATTGGTATTTACTTAATCAGGGACGACAAATGTCAAAACATGATGCCCATTAATTATGCAGAGGATATTCTCTACACATTATTTTTATCACCAATTACTTCTTAACCTTTTGAGCATATTTTTTTACTAATAAATGTGTATTATATTATATTTTAAAACAATTTTTAAAAATAGCTATGCATCTTTTATTAATACTTAAGCCTACAAATGTACATAAAGTGTTTTAGTGTTTTCATATCAGAGGTCCTATATGCTAATGATGCTACTCACATAAAAATTAAAAGGTTTGTGATTCTTCAGAACTATTTTATCCTTCTGAAGTATATGAAGTATATTTAAATTCATTTAAAAACAACAGCCAATGGGTTTTGGTTATTACAAAACAATGCAACCATTTGTTTATGTCAATGTTTATTTTAAAACTACTGTTTGCAAAAATTTAAAATCAGTTTTTTTATTACAGTACTTTTAATATAGACAACATACAAATGAGCATCAATCAGTTTTCAAACAGTGATAAAACAACATTCATGTACACATTTTTTAAGCTGAGGCAGAAATATTCTGATATAAAAAGTTATTTATTTTTAACAATGCAGTTAAATGGGTTTTTTTTTTAAATATATTCTTTTTCTGACAAAAATTGTATAAATAAAAGATTTTAAAAAGATTTTTCCTATTACTATGTTTTAAAATAATATAAAGTTATATCAGGTGTTTAAATAACTACTCAATGACTAACTAAACTATAACAAGAGTGGTCAGGGGAAATGTTTACTAATTTGTACATTTGATCCAACATTTTTAAAAATGGTATATTTGATAGTACATTTCCAAACAGATGTAGTATTTTCTGAACATTCATTGATTGAAAGTTAGATCAGATTAGCCAAACATCACCAATTGTCAGGTTCCACAAAGAGCTTCTCAGCATCTTTCTTTTCTATATCAGTAGAAGCAGCTTCTGAAAGATAGATTATTCAGCAATTATTTTTAACATATTTTTTTATCTAAGTGTGAAAAGATTTGTGTTGTAAATGGCAAGGCAGGAGAAAAGTGGATGCCACCATGTGCAATACTTTTGTCCAGATGTGGTATAACTGGGGGGGGGGGGGGGGGAGAAGAACCATGGACGGTGCTTTTGTCTAGATAAAGGAAGTAGCAAATGATGACTTCAATACATCTGTTTTAAGGAAGGGATAAAAATATGCCATGGAGTTCATATATTAAATTTTTTTCTAAAGTTGACTTTAAGCCTCACTTAAAATTCCTATGTGAAACAAAGTGTCAATGACAGAATGCCCACTTATGGTAACTTTTCTAATGAAAATACTCATAACAAGACAAGTAATTGACTACCTGCGGATCTGTTCTGAATATGACTGTTGGTGATGTTGAGGTCAGAACCCTCAATACTTGTTTCCAGAGATTCATCTTCTTCCATGATCACAGGATAAGACCTAATTTAAAAGAAAATATGGCTTTATAATTTTAAACTACTTTACACAATACCTTTCTATGCAATGGTTTGGCCACAGTAACAGTTTCACTGTGTGTACCTGTGCTTGACAAATAAATCTTGCAATAAAATTCTAATCTTTAGTTGATGACACGTGTCATGTAAAGTTTATTATAAAGATTTTTTTATTTCTTTTATTTTCTGCTATTAAGATCTAGTAACTAAGAAACTTAAAAGTAAAATAGTAAGGCAAAAAATTAGTAGCATTTTAATTCTATTCATTCCATTTTTTAAAATTAAGTCAACAGCCCTGAAAATTAAAATCTCTAAATGATTATTAAATTATTTAAATGCCACTTATAATTGGCTCTTAGGTATGAAATCATAGCACACCAGTGCCCTTCGGTCATCTGGTTCACCAAGTATTCTCTAGTACTTAATACTTATTATTTATTTTATTATTGATCAATTATTGATCAACCACAGTTACCGCTTTTATTTGTGTTTGTACATGTCATTTAGTTGCTTAGGTTGTTTAAATTTGAGAAAATATTGAAAACTTTTTTTTTTGACACATGGCAAACACTAACCATACTTACTCATTACACAAAGACTTCCGTTTGATCTTATTTGGTATGTCTGAATCATTAAGCTGCAGCTTCCTCTTGTTATGTGGCGGTGTAGGTGAGGAGGCAGGGGGTGTGGTTGCTAATGCTGACCATCGCATGTTTTTGCTGCGGTGATGGAATGCGTAAGACACAACATGATATGTGCTGGCACTTTGGGACAAAGCTTTTAGAGCTGAAAAAAAATTGAACACTTTAATACAACATATATATTTCCAATTCAGTTAAAACATTACAAAAAAAGAATCATTAACCTATACCATAACGGAATGATACATAGTTTCTGTAAGTTTTTGTAAGTAGTAATATTTTACTTGCCAAGTTTAGCATTTTCTTTTTTATAAAGTGATACATAAGCAGATGTGTCAGTGAGCCAAGATATTTGAATATTTCCTGAAAAAAAAAGTTAAAATTTCCTTACTTTGGAATTGGAAAGGCATCTTTAAATTTAAAAAAATTATAATTACAGATCAGAGATGACAGCAAGAGTCACAATTTATGAACCTACCATAAGGTTGAAAGAGAATATGCAAGTCAGATGGTCGCCATTCTTTAGGAAATGTTACATGAAAAATATGGTCTCTATTGACTTCCACTATAACAAAAGCGTATATAAATATTAAAATTTGTATGTGTACTAAAAAATATTGCAAGAGATATTGGACACTTAAATTAAATATTAACTGAGTAATATTTGACGTTTATATATTGTTGTGAATTCTGTCCTTAAAACCAGTAAATTAAATTTAAAAAGATCAATAAATAAACATGTAACCTAAAAAATTACCAACAACTTACAATCTGGACCATCTAGGTTCAAGTATGGAATATCATTTATTCTCATCATGAACAACCTGTAATTTAAATAAATCAGTGTAAATTAACTTTTTCCAGTGTACCCTTTATCAACTTATTTTCAACCATTAAATAAAATCTGCATCCTATAAGAACTTAATTGTGCGTAATGCTAGATGAATTAAGTATTCTGATTTTTGTTTAAAATATTTTATTATTTATTTTGATGGGCAAGAAAAAAAATGTCTACTTGCTTGTTGATAAAAGGGTTAACAATATGAGATGAAGGGGGTGTAAAATAAACTGGAGGGCTTTGTAGGGTGCCTAGAAAAAAGCAAAGAAACAAATTAGAATATGCATTAAAATTAAAACTCATTTAGAATTGGAAACTGTACAAAGCTGATTTTTAAGCACAACTTAAAAATAATAGAACACAAATTTTATTCAATTTTAGCATAGATAAGACAAATTCTTTATATTTTAATAAAAACCATCAGTTCACTCTTAATTAGTTTTAAGAATAAAAAAACTTATTAAAAATGTGTATTTGTCATTACTGAAATTGAAAACAATAATTAAGAAGATGTAATGTTTGTTGTTTACTTACCCAGGTAATTAACCATTGTGGCAAAAGCAAAACCTGTTATATAAGCATCATAGCCTGCCTCATGGAAGGCTCCAGCCCCATCTTCATAACGAATGAATCCTTCAGCTGTTTCTATTTTATGATTTAGACAAAATATTTGTCAATTTAATACTGATAATTAAATTTTATGACATCAAAAAACTTGTATCAGGATTATTTACATTTCTGATTACTGGTTGTAATAATTTTCTTAATTGTGTAAAAATTGAACTTATTAAAATAGATCAAAAAAAGGTGAAAAACATGGAATTACAATATTTATTAATATCAAGCTCTGAACAGACTGGATGGTTTTGAAGTGTACGTACCAACCTTGGCAGGTGTGAACGGCTTTGACATTAGTGTCTGTTTCAGCTCTTCTAGTGATGAAAATCTTATCAGCTCCTGAGGGTTAAGAGGTATATTAATAATTGAGTAACACACTGAAAAAAATATTATTAAAATATTAAAATATATTTAAAATTTGCAGATGGGAAAATTCTCAAATTAACAGGACGAACCTGCAATGGTTGGGTGTTAGCCATTAGTTTTGTGTCAATCAATCTGAAAGAAAAAAGTCTTTTCAGGGAACACAAAATATATACAAAAAACAAACTTGATTCATCCTTAAATGCTTCAGCTTCCTTTTAAAAATGCACATTGAAAAATAAAATAATTTTAATAACTAATGGTCAAAGCTTTACTAAAAGAAGCTACCTGGGGAATACTGCTTTTACAACTGTCTTGAAATCACCAAGCATCTGTAGGTAAGTAGTTTGAGTTCTTAGTTAAGTGGTTAAAAATAATATCCAGGTAAAGGAAAGGGTTATAGCTTCAAAACAAAAATAAATACATCCAGTTCAAGAAGCTGTTAAAATGTAGCTAATTAAAGTATTTTTTACTGCATTAATAATTAACAAGTAAATTAAATCAGTTCCTATGAATGTATATTAACTTGATACACATGACATTACTGCTTGGGAAAAGCAGACAATGCTTACCTCTGGAAGACGGCACTGAAACTGATCAACAGCATGTATTACATCAAGAAACATATTGTGTCCGACCACAAGTTTGCCCTGAAAAGTTTAGGAAAAACACAAATTTCTATCAACTATAGTTAAAAATTGATCAAACATGATTTACATTTAAATGCTTAGTTTTAGGTAAATGTGTCAATATCTACTTACTGATGCTGCGATTGCCTTGATAACTTTTGAAAAGCCTACTTGTATATCCAGCTCCATCTGTGTCAATTATAAGTCAACTTAAAATAGTTGAACTAAATTATGTTTTAATCTAACTACTTAAACCCTACTTTTAAAAGGAGGAACTAACCTTTTCTAGTGCCTGCTTATCCTGATCTTTTTTAAATTTATCTTCAACATTTTTTGTTCTGTGCACTTCCATGTATCTCTCTTTTTTCTCTCCTGTCTTTGTTTCTATTTGTATCAGTGGAAATCTAATATGAATGGAATTATACACTTCCTTAAATAATGAATACATCCATAGTAGTAAAATAAAGCAAAGTGAAGTATAACAAATATACTAATCATTTGAAGCATCCCAAATAATTCAGTGCACAACTTCTTAAAAATGTAAGGGTTAGCCATTTAAAAAGAAATTTTAATTTATAAATCTTACTTTTCTTCAACTGTTTGAAAAATGAGTTTTCTTTGAAATGCATTACAGGGTGGTATTATGAGTGGTTTTTCCTCCTCAGAGTTCAAATATTCAGTTATGTTTTCACTGCAGATAAGAGCATGTCATGGCTACGTAATATCTCTACTCGGCATAGTAATAATTTAACTTTTAAAAAACAACAACAGGAAACTCTAGCATACCATATGTTAATTAGAAATATTTTCTGATCATCAGGGATAGGAACAAGTCCTTTCTTAGCGCTGTTACTGTTGTGATTACTATCTCCATCTGCTAAGATCTTGTTAGCTTCCTCATGCTTGCGGCCTAGGTCAGCCTTTAGTTTAGCCTCATCATCAAGTGTTAGGTAAGGAATACCTGATTTCATAATTGTAAACAATTACCTTAAATTCATTTTGAAATACACACTAAAATAGATATGCAATATCACAACATATTTAAAACATAAAAATTGACAGATTAACAGCTTAATAAAACAATAATCAAAACAATTTCAATGTCATAAGTTTTTATGTTTTCTCTAAAAATTTCAAATGATCAAATATTTTTTTTCTCCCCATATGAAATTAACTATAGGACATTATTTTTGTTTAAATTATAAAAGAAAGAGTTTGTTTACCTTCTTTAAATAGCTTGTTAAAATCAAAACCTTGTGATGCCAGAAAATCTATGCTAGAGCTCTGAGAAAGGAAAGAAATAATACATATTAGATTATCCTAATAGTAATCCCAGGGTTTTATATTAGGGTGAAAAATGCCATTTTCTAAGAGATACAGCGTGCATTTTAGGATGGTTTATCAGAAAGCATATTGAAAAAAATTAATTAATTAGCTTATTTGAACAATTTTTTTTTATTCGTCATTTATCTAGCTTTAAAAATATGTCTTAATCACTAAATACTTCAAAAGAAGATGTCTAACAACCTGCAAAGGAGATATACTGTTACTAAGTTGACTTAAATAGCCAAATATCAATAATGAGAAGATGTTAAGAAGACAAGTAAATTAATGTTTTTTATTTGTTCAGGCTAACAGACCAACAGTACTGATTTTCTAGAAAATGTTAATAGTTTAATTTTCAATAGCTCTGTTACATTTGACCTTACAGGTAATCTCTTGGGTTTATTGTGCAATGTATCAATTCTTGCCCAACCTGTGATCTAGATCTGTATGAGATAAGGAGCCAATAATCAATAATACCTGACAAAGAAACCTTCTGTCAGGTGCATGTCTGGTGTAGGGTCTTGGAAAAATGTAAAAGTTATAAGGCTTTGCTTCATATCTGAGGAGAAAAAAAGTTTGGTAAGATCAATTATGTGTTAAACTTAAGTATAAATTATTATAAGTATAGAGATTCTTTTCTTTTTTTTAAACAAAAATTTAATAGCAAGGCAAAAACCAGTTTAAAACAATATTTTACTTCTGTTTATCTTGATCTGCTTTAAAAGTACACAAACCAAACTGTATAAGTAGAAAATCAGATGCACCCTGAAAAATGTTATCATATTATTAATATCCATGATTTTTTTTTCTTTTCTAAATTTTTAAATTATTATACACATATATTATATTAACAATAAACAACTAAATCTTAAAGCATATACTATCAACATGTTTTGATTAATATGCTTAATAATTACTTTAAAATTACTTTACACAATACTTCAGATGCTTCAAAAGATTTACAGATGTTAAATACGTATTTGCAAAAACAGCAACAGCAAATCAAAATTATAACATTAAATACTCATTTCTACATATGAAGTGCACTGAAGTATTTTTTCAAAGTCTTGAAAAGATACTAACATTTCTTATTTTGTTGTAGCGCTCGACTAAGGTGTCAAAAGGAGCTGGAGGTCCACATTCGCCAGAATCTAAGCCTGTAAGACAATTGTAACATTTAATACTTAAATTAGTTCATTACATTTTCTGCTCTTTTATTCTGTTTAAACCCCTAAGTTTGGAATGTTAGTAGAAATTACCAATGCATGTTCATGATGATTATTGATTTGACTCAACTTGGTTGTAATCTAAAAATGAGATATAACAAGTAAAATCCCTTAACAAAACCTAACAATTAATACAGTATTTAGTGCTTGGTTAAAATAATCTTTCTGAACAATTGTTCAGCAACTGCAGTGAGTTTACAAATGTCATTGTAACAAAACATCGGAAAACTGGCAAGGTTAGAACCATGAGAATCTCTGCATACCTAAACAGTTACATCTTTTCAACAATTTGATTTCTACTGCTCATCAAATTCATGTACTAAGTCCTTATTGATTTTATATTTTATAAGAAAACACAAAAAAAATTTTTTATTAATAATAATGCAATTACTATTGACTTAGTATAAGTTTTAATGTTTTGGGGTAGGCCTATTTAAATAATTTAATAAAAATAGTTATGGAAACAGCTGGCAACACAGTATACTGGAGGAGGCTGAAAGGATAAGACTGAGCTAGGAAAAGTTGAAAGGAGTAGCAGGAGATCATAGACTTCATAGGAGAGTAGAGAACTTAACCTCAAGGAACAATAAACCGGGAGTGATCTCCCCTAAACTTTCTCGAATATTCTTATATAAAATAACAGGGGATGGGAACTCGGGCTATAGACATGATTTTTAATCCATTTTAAATACTTAAAGTTTTAAAAATAGAATAAAATCTCGTAGACAAATTAATTGCACACCAAGTGAACGCGAAATAAAAAAGCGCATAATAGTGCGCAATATTATTAGTACTTTTAAAATTTACATTAGTTTTATGAGAAATCGGAAGTAGCGTAAATTACTACTTCCGGTCAACGGAAATTACTCAAAATTTAACAGAAGGTAGAGAATTAGATCTTTTACTTACATGTAAAATTTCATGTATCTATCTGAAATAGTACTCAAGTTATAGGCTTTTGAAAAATTCAAAGTAGAAAAAGTACCACTTCCGGTTGTTGATACGGATCTACGATTTTGATATAATACTTATATAAGAAATTTCATCAACCTAGCTGTAACGGTACTCAAGTTATCGTGTTTACACACAAACACACAGACATACGGACAAGATTGCAAAATTATGTTTTTCCGTATCAGTGAGGTGTAAAACGTCGAGATTTGTAAAAATCTCGATTTTTTTTTTTGCACGATTACAATACTTTCTCTATACTACGTATATACGAGAAAGTAAAAAAGGGAAAAAAAATGAAGATGAAAGTGTGCTACAGCTAGCAATCGGAGGTGATCATAGAGAGTAGAGAACTTTAACTTTTTAAATTATTATTTTAAAAAAATGAAGATGAAAACAGTGTGCTCCAGTTAGCAATCTGCCATTCATTTTCTATTACTATTTTTGTGCTTTTTTTTTTTTTATATTTTAGGCTCTTTTTAGATTGCATACAACTATAGTAAGTTTTTTTGCAGAATGATAGCAGCCCTAGATCCTACCCGAAACAAGATGGAGGTAAAATGTGAAAGTAGTATATGAAATAAATACAAAATAAAGAAAAATTTTGAAATAAGGTTGTCTCACCTGTAAATTCACCATCAATTGCTAGGAAACTGCAATCTTCTATTGATTTTATGATGTTGTCCAGTTCTTCATTAAAATCTAAAAAAAAAAAAAAAATTAAAAACAGTGTATTTAAGATCTGACCATAGAATCTACATCTACCACACACGCTACAAAAGGGGCATGTGAAGCAGAAATTTAGCATGGCCCATTTTTCAAAATGAAGTTGTTGCAAAATATTTTTAAAAATGTATCAATTTAGATGTAGACGTGTAGGTCTACAATTTGTCCAAAAATCAACATTGTACTAAAATAACATCTAGCCTCATTAGGATGACAAAAGTAAAAAAAGTCAATTAACACATTACAGACAGATCAGGACTTTAAAACTTGGGTGTCTGAGTAGTGAATCTATTCATCCCCTCCAACATAATTAAGTATAATTGTCAACTGGTTATGCGCCATTCAGGCCATTGATTTCAGCCTGCTTTTCTTTTTGGATTACCTTCCATAGCCTTTGTCCAACCAACTCAACCACGCTGACCACTAAAGTATATGTATGTGGAAATGATTTTTGTTTTTGGATATTTTGACTTCGACATTAGTTATATTAATTTTAAAGTAGTCACAGTATGTAGGTCACGTTGCCACCATTGTTATATTTTGTCATCCCACTGCCGGCTTTTAGTTCTGATGCATTAACAACAACATTCTTATGTAATGTGCAAACAAATCTTATTGTTTTGAAAATATTTTAATACACCTATCTTTGATTTTTTTCAACTCTAGTTCTAGTTTTGCTTTGAGTGCTCAAGCCATTTACTTTAGATTTCTGACTATGTAGGTCTTTCATTCAATTTATTTATATAAAACATTGCTTTAGAAACATTTCCATATTCGCGCATCATCACACTCACAGTTTTTTGGGTTTAGGGGAGGAAGCCAACACAAAAATATACTTTCTGTATTATATTTGCTCAGTTCAACAACATATACCTACAAGTTCTAATTAACTTCTATATATCATTCTAGCTAAACTCTACAAATATGAACAAAATACAACGGCAAGTAAAATAACTATGCTAATTTATTCAGGTTTACCATGACTTATCACAAATGGCCAATGCAAAAACAAGGGGATTCCACCCCTCACAAAAAATGTCACTAAAAAAACTATTTGACAGTATTTGAGCTAAATCTAATGACTAATAGACAGAAAATATTTTTAATTTTGTTTTCATATAATATATATTATAGTATTATATATAGGGGCCTATAGGCCTATATGTTGATATATTATAAATTATAATCTATTATTTAAATATATTAGGCCTAGGCCTATATTTATAATTTATATTACGGCAGGGGCCTAGATCTAGAGATGAGCTCTACAAGATCTAATTTTGGTAAAATCACGATATCGCGGTGTAAATTATCCGGTGATTTTTTTTTTAGTTTTGTAAACATTCGTTACCGTAAACCATAGTTTATTTGACTGTTGAAATAAAAATAAAGTCATGTGCATTAAATTAATGTTTTACCTTAATTTAAAGTTTAATTGACAGAACATTAGTAACAATTAGTAAATTTAAATATTATTAATAAAGTCGAGTGTAGATCTAGTAATAAATGCTTTTTTTTTAAGAAACAGAAAAAAAACTTGCAGAAGATCTGCAACTACTAGCTCTAGGTAGAGCTAGTAAAATAAGACGATTAGATTTACTAAAGTTAAAAGTAGTAAGAAGAACTAGAACAATGTTTAGTAGCAGCACAAATTAGAATATACACTTATTTATTATTATTTAAAATAATTAGAAATACAAAATATCAAAATAATTAGGCCTAGCAAAACAGTAGGCCTATTTAAAATGCAACTAAAATCAATCCATGTACATTTTTAAACATTATGTATTAAAAATAATATAGCGGCAAATAAATGATGGTTTACAGTATTTTCGGTGGTTTCCGGAATGGCTCGGCAGACTATGCCATGGTTTTACTGTTCTTTACTGCTGTACAATTTTTTATTCCAGAATAATAAAGGACGCTACTTTATATCGTGATTTTACCCTAATACTATTATAATGATTTTTGTGTTTTTACCAAAATCCCATTAGGCCTACTCCTAATGCCTAATAGTATACTATGACTATGAAAGTATGATATGAAGAATGATTGTGTAAAAAAACAACACAACTTTGAACTCAGAACTGTGTGCTTACTCTGCTTAGTTATTTCCATGCTTGTAATTTTTAAAACTTAACAATACAATGTTATACTTCGGTTGCAGATATTGATGTAGACATGTAATCTAGAAAAATCTATACAATATCGAAGCTAGGCCCTAGAATCTAGCTGTTTCTGATAAAGACTGATAGATTTCTAAATCTGTTGTATTGTTTGCATTGTTAAATGTTCCTTTTCGTATTCGTTTCGGTAGATCCAAATATTTGCCAGATAAGAAGATAGAAATAACAGCAAAACCAGCTGTTAAAAAGAAATGTGACTATTGTCATGTAAACTCCGGGAATGTGTATTATTTGGGGCACGCAAATCTTATAGACTTTAATATAGAGTCTATAGAGTTACTTTTTACAGTATGGAAAGCCACAATAAGAGCCAAAAGATTATAGCAGTATAATAGATCTTTCTAGCAAACATACAATCTATGAAACAATATGAATATTCAGTAACACATTATATTCTGATCGCATCTATAATTTAGATCTAGATCAAAATGCACTGCTTTCGGATCGCATTTTAATTTTGAATGTAGTTGGATTAGGGTGATGCGATGCAAAATATTCAAGTTAGATAAAAAAAAGACCAGATAAAAAAAAACAGATAAAATAATTATGCCAAAGCTAATTAAAGACAATTGGATCGACGAAGCGATCGATTGAGTTAGTGACGGAACGACTAAAATGACCAAGAAAAGTCTGTCTGTCTGTTTGTTCTTTATTACTTACTTCAAATGATCGCCATGAAACTGGGGAATTTATGAGACAACACCCCGAGAAGGTTACTTCGAAATAGAAAAAAAACAATTTCGGGCCCCAGGGGCTCACAAGGAGTCCCGAATGGCCCAAAGAATTAAGAAAAAAAATCAATTTTGGAGGGGCTGCGCTTCGGCAGGGTGCGATTTAACGCCCCGGGTTCCTTTGCGAGCATTTATTTTAAAGAGCACAATACGATAGGTTCACGGTGGCTCATTACATTCGATTAATACGCAGAACTGCGGTAGGCCTAGTACGTTACAGTGGTTCTCCAGAGCGCCCCGCGACCGAAATCAAGAAACATTTGGACAATGCGATGTGGTATTGTCCAATGTACACGTCGGGCTTATATAGGCATATATATATATATATATAGGCATATATATATATATATAGGCATATATATATATATATATATATATATATATATATATATATATATATATATATATATATATATATATACACATATATTATGATATATATATATTATTGCAATCAAACATAGTTTTTAATTAACTGCACAAATTACACAGCCTACATCCCCACATTAATTTTAAAATTCAAAGCCATTATATTCTAGTCTACGTTACTAGATCTAGACTCTAGATCTAGATCTATATTCAATAATAATTCCACACAAACTTTAGGGAAAAAATACCACTTTCATATGTGTGATTTTTTTTTCAAAATAAATAGATCTAGAATCTATTTAGATCTATTTAGATCTATATATTTTGATAAATATAACTAAAATCTATCGATTTATTTCTTTTTTTTATATTCCGATCTCTTCTGTTATTTTATGTAGTATCTGCATAGTTGGTTTTTAGTAACAAGTTGTTTTTCATAACCTAAAATGTGATTGGTTATTAGAGCGACCTCTTGGCCGTATCTAACACACCAACGGCCCAAGGGCCTTCAGGCATGCATTACACTACACCATCAACACACAGAAACTAAAGTAATCATTTTTTAATAGATCTAGTCTTGTTGTTGCACGATCTAGAGTCTAGATCTAGATCTAATTTTTAAAATCGCATTGACAAATTTATTCACTTCTTTTTAAAAATAAGCGGCTAATACTAATAGTAATAGTGTTATTTTATGTAGGCCTACCGAATCACGGCCTTCTTTTTAATTTTACATTACAAGTAACAATGAATAAATCAATAGAAATCCTAGTCTACAACTTTTGTTTGACACGGCTGAGCTGAGGCCTAACAAAAAAAAATTGTTCATGACTTCGGCCTAGATCTATAAATTTCTAGATCTAGATCTATAATCAAAGATCTAGAAATCTAGATTAGATCTAGAGATCTAGATCTAAAAAGATCTAGATCTACAAGTTGGTGTAATTTCCCAATTTGTTTAAATCAGACAAGTCAAATGAAAGAATGTGTGTGTTATAAACTGTTATATATTATATATATTCGATGATTACTTATTTACTATATAAATAGCAGCCATCTGTAAGTTAGAGTGGTTTCCCCTGAATCTCTAACTAATTTAACTATAATTTACCAAAAAAAAACCCACTGAAACTAGATGGCTGCTGCTAAAGTAAATGAGCTTAGTTGCATCTGATGAAAACATCAATAGTTTTCATTTTTTACTGAAAAGTTTATAGACTTAGTTACACATACTTGCGAAATAGCACTAAAAACACTTAATTTATGACGTCTGAAGAACATTAGATAAGGCCTACTACAGAAGAGAAAAAAATTAGCTAGGCTATAATAAGTTGGGTTTATTGTACAGTAAGAATAAGTTGATCATCTCTTAGGCCTACTTTTTAAAAATTTAATATTTTTAGACCTATTTAATTTTTTTTTCAGTCTGCATTTTGTTATCCTGAGCATAGATTATGGTGTAACTTTTGCCATAAGTGCAATAACATTGCAACCAGGTTGGTAGAAAATTAAGGATATATATCATAAAGGGGTATTTAAAAACCTTTTTAATGTTGTTGAAACTATTTTTTATATAAACTTGCCTAAATTAAAATCATGAATATTAAGGCTAACATATTTTTACTGTTCCAATAATTGGTTTAATGAAGCTGATTTTAAACAATTTATGTATCAACAGATGCAACAAGCCATGATTTCAACTATTTGATCACAAACAGCTTTCCAGTTGCCTAACCCAAGTAGCTCACATTACTAAAACTATACAGCTGACTAGTGCTTTCGTATGATGTTTCAAACAAGAATAAAGCTATGAAGTAAACCTTTTTACCAAAAGACAGGATTTAGACAGTATCGGAAGTGTTGGTGTAAAGTTTCCAAATGTTGAAAGGTTCAGGGAAAAGACTTTATAAATTCAGCCAAAAAATGGTTGGGACATTAATAAGACGTATTTCTTCAAACTCAGATTTTTCTAGGTATGTTTTCTCACATAAAATGTACTAAAGTTTTTCATATTTCCTGTTACCACACCAAATTCCATTGTGTATTTTTGCACTTGGTTAAACATTTAAAAATATTTCTTGACAGATTAAAGAATAGACGTGCAAAACCTGGTGAGCAATATCAACCCACTGATGTAGAGCATCTAGCCAATGTTATTTCACATGGGGTTTGTAATTATATTGAACATTATCAGCTTACTACATTTAAGGCATATTCATTTAGTTATCTTCATTATAAAATCCCATAATCCTCTGAGATGGATATGAGTTTTAGCATTCATAAAAAAACTGCCTTTTACTTTCTCATATACAAAGTATAGAGGAAGTATGTTAATCGTGCAAAAAATCAAAATCCATATTTTCATAAATCTCACTGTTTTACACGTCCCTGAGTTGGAAAAACTTAGTTTTGCTATTTTGTCTGTGTGTATGTATGTATGTCGGTGAACACGACAACTTGAGTACTGTTACAGCTAGGTTGATGAAATTTCATATATAAGTATTATATCAAATTTGTAGTTCTGTATCAACTTTTCTGTCATTTCCAGTAACTGAAAGAGGAACTTATTCTACTTTTGGTTTTTCAATAGCCTTTAACTTGAGTACTGATTCATATAGAAATACAAAATTTCACATACAAGTAAAAGATCTAATTCTCTGCCTTTGTTCAAATTTTGAGTAATTTCCTTTGACCGGAAGTAGTACTTCAGCCTTATTTTCTATGTTAAATTAAACCATATGAATTTATAATGTACTAATATTCTGCACTATTATACATACATTGTTTGCTGTTCACTTGGTGCGCAATTCTTTTTTCTACAAGATCCTATTCTATTTTTAAAAGTTCAAGTAATTAAAAATTGATTAAAATAGTGTTATATAAGAATATTTGAGAAAGTTTAGGGGAGATCACTCCCGCTTTATTGTTTTACAAGCTAATTGTTGCTTTGTTCACCAATTAAAGATAGTTTGACATCTTTTTAATACAATTTTTTAGGTTTGGATTCTCCCAAGTGTGCTTGCCCTAGTTTTTATGGTCTGTGTTTCTGTTAATGGACTCCAACTAACCACAACATTGTTATATGGTACAGCCCTGGTACTTCTGTTCACCACCTCAACTATTTTTCACATACTGTCTTACACTGGACAATTTCCGTAAGTAAATTCAAGTATTTTTTTTTTTAATCTTGCTTTAGTAATTATCCTTCTTACTGAAAACCGGTGCAATGCTATATAGATAGTTCCTGATTTACTTTTTTTTTAACTAAAGTATTCATTACTATAAAAAAAATCTCATATAAAATAACTTAAATTTATTAAATTATATAATGCAAAAAGAAGGTTGCCTGAGGTCAGTTGGTCAACAACCGAAAGTTAACTTGGATATATACTTGTATGAATAATCCAAAATAAAAAGTAAATCAAAGCAGCCATGAGGAAAGTTTTAATATAAATCCTATTATTTCAGTGACTGGAGAAGAACGTTTCATATTGGTGATAGAGCAGTTATTTATATATTTATAGCTTCATCATATACACCATGGTATGTTCCAACAGGCAATAACTGGCTTTTTTACTAATTTTATAACCTTTTTACCTTTAAGGCTTTATTTAAAGCTAACATTTAAAATTTTATCTTAATGCTTTAATCTTATACTTTTAGCAAGTTTTACTAGAGGCTGCAAATATGTTGGAGTAATGAAGTTTTTCATGAATGAAACTAACTTACTTAAGTGATGTGTAAATATTTTTTAAAGTTAAAATTATATTTACTCTATTGTAGGTGAAAATGTTAAGGGTGACTTATTATGACTTATGTTGAAAAGTGTATTGATCTTCATTCTTTTCAATGCCTTATATAGGTTGCTCCTGAAAGAATTTCATTCATGGTCCGAAGAGTTCTTGTGTATGGTTTGGGTAATGGCCTTGTTGGGGGTCACTTACGCATATCTGTATCATGAACGGTTAGTGTTAGTAGTTTTACAAACCATCCAGTGTATATTGGTATAGATATTTTAAATGTGGAGATGTCTAAATGAAGCACATGCTGATGTTTTCTTCCATTTCTCAGGTACAAGTTCCTGGAGATTACCTTTTATTTGATTATTGGTGTTTGTCCAGCTATCTGTATCATGGACATGGTCAGTCAATGTTTAACGTTTTAGCTTAATATTTTAAACATTAACTTTATTATGCTAAAGCCATCCCATTAATGCTGCAAACTAATCAACTCACATAAAAAAAAATATATATATATATATATATATGTATATATATAGAGAGAGAGATAATAATTTTCCTTTTATTTTTTTTATTTTTTTTCAGAAGGACATGTCAGGAATAGTAGAACTGAGTATTGGAGGTGCTATGTACATCTTAGGTGTAGTATTCTTTAAAATGGATGGAATAATACCATTTGCCCATGCCATCTGGCACTGCTTTGTCTTTGTGGGTTCCTTCTGTCATTTTGTTGCAATATGCACACATCTTCTTGGTGTCAATCTACCAGGATTTTAACAAAAACATTACTTAGGTTCAAGCTGCAGCTGAAATTTTTGAAAAGCACTTTTATGACTTCATTTTTTATAGCTATTAGCTTCTCATGTGTGTTGCTTGCTGTGAACACGTTTGTATTAGTTGTAGAATATATATTATTTGTAAAATACTTTTCATAGTTTTGGTATACATTTCTAGAAATAGGTAAAATAATCTTTTGGCCATTGCGTGTAAGTTGGTAGATTGAAATGATGCATTGTTTCAAAATCTAGCTGATGAAAAATCAGTTATCAAGAAACTTGTATTTGGCCTACATTTCTGCACACCAAAATATCTATCTCCATTTCCTACCCAGTGAACATTTGTACTATTTAGTTGTTTTTTGTTATGTTATAAATCAACAGAAACCAACCACTGCAGTATTTTAATGTGGAGGACAAAACTTACCTTTTGTACAACTTATTTACTTGCCCTACAGTCAAAAGAAGCCAGATTGTATTACATTTGTTACTTCATGTTAGTATGTTTGCTCAACATCCAAGTCAATATTTATATTGGTGTGACTCAATTCATTGTCTTTATAAGACAGAAAGTCAACTAATTTAAGTAATTAGGTTACAGTAAAGAAACATAATGATCCTGAATTCCTGTTTAGATTATTTTTTTTTTAAATAATAGAGACTTACACTACTTACAGAAAAGAAGTATTTTAAAGTAACATTTCTTAAATAATGACTTAATATTGTAAAAAATTATATTGTCCATTTTATTGATATTAACAGTTCGAAATACATTGCATTAGTTGTGCTTGAAACTGAGTAGGCTATCATCATTTAGTTTGCCAGAAATTCCTATTGCCAGTTTTTCCATCATACAAAAATAGCCAGTGTTTTTTCTTTTACTTATGAACATCTGTGACAGTTAAATCATTCTTTATTTTATGTTGGTGCAATATACACAGATTTTGATGTCTGTGACAATCAAACTGATCTAGACTTTACATGTAGGTTTAAATATATTTTATATTGATCATTATATAGTGATGCATGTATGACATATTTTTAGAACCATCCCAGATTTTGTAATGGTGCTATCTAAAAACAAATTCTTGGTTTATTACTTTTAAACTCTTTAATCAAAATTCACATACATGTTCTTTTAAATATAGAGATGTGAGCATTTATTTTTCAACCTTTGCATATGCTTGGTGAATAGCAGCATTATGCCTCTTATACAAAATCAAAAATCAGTATATTTTTAAGTCCATGTAAACTTTTAAAAGTAGAGTAGAAGTAAAATAGTATTAATTATAAATTAAATAAAGGAGTATTTACTTGAGCTATAAGATTTATAGCTTTTTTTTTCAAGGCTGCAGTTTCTACATAACCATTGTATCATCAAATGGTCATCAAAAGCTTTATAAAAGAAGATAAATATTTCTATTTTTATAAATATTTTTTAAGCTATTTAACAGATTACCTCAAATGTCTATATAACAATAATCAATATCTTGAAAATGATAGATTAGTATTATTTGTTGTTTCTTTGCCTGCCAAAATAATAATTTTGTTAAAAGTATTCAACTATTCATATTGTATTCTAATTGTTAATTCAACATTTAGTGATGTTGAAAATTTTAGAAGTCCCCTATTTTCAGAAAGTGTTGTCAGAGAGTACATTTTGAAAGAATCACAAGAAGAAAATGCAATAAAACTTATTCTAAGATTTTTTAAAATGTCTAGTGAATTTAGTATCTGAGTATAAGATTTACACAGCCTTTTTAAAAAAAAATCTTTATCTGACATATTCTAGATATTATTACTACTACATACAAACCCATTTAAGTTAATCCAGTATTATTATCACTTGTTTATTTATAACTTAATTAATGAATGGAAACTTGACTCAAAGACACATTTAAAATAAGTTGAATTCCTTTTTTGAAAGTTTGTGCTCCCCTGTGACAAGTTGTAAAAACATTGTTACTTTGCATTATTTTTTTCAAATTTGACAATCCCCCCACCTCAGGTTAACAAGTTTCAGCAAAGAGGTTTTGAAACGCCCTAAGCATGACATCATTTCATTGTGCTGCTTATGATAATATTCTATTTAAGATAATACTAACACCATTTGTATAAGTGCATACTCCAGATTATAATTGTATAATAAAATGCTGTCTACCATTATGGAACTGGATCTGTGATAACAAATTGACATAGGACTAGAATAATAACATTCAACTGTTGATTTTATATATATATTAAATGTGTATATTTTGAGCAGTTTTAGTACATGTATACTTGTTTTTTCCTATCATAATATTCCTGTAAAGAGAATATAACCAACTTCAAAAATGAAACTGTATGTGTCAGAGCAATGACCTTGCTATAACTGCAGTATTTGGAACTAGAGAAAAGTTTGACCCTTTAAGAACTCATTATTTGCAGGCATCATGCAACCAAGTGATATTATATGTTTTACATTCCCTGTGATGTAAAAATTATTTTTAAAAATATCATCATATAATTTCATCAATCAAAATCAGTTCTTGCTTTTTATACCATTATTATTTTTTCTTTTTTAAATTTATATTGTAAAAGCTGTTGACACTAATCTTTGTAAATAATTTATTTATATTAATAAATGTGGATTTTAAAAGATGCATAAGTATGTTAATAACTAGATACTTAAAAACTGAGAACATAGCTATTTTATTATTTTTTAAATTGAAATGACAATTTTTTTTATTGAAAAAAAAAAGATGTTGCAGTTCATTACATGACATAAGTTTGTATTTTTGAACCTTTGGATTAATGGCTTTCCATTTATATTTTTAAAAAACCACAGAAACCACAATTAAACTATTTTTATTACAATTTATGGAAAACAAAAAAGTACAATAAACCATCCTTTTGTTTTCCATACATTGATACATTATGATTATCCAATATTTTTTGATGAGTCAGTTGTATTGTGATGTATAACATTTTAGAATAAAATTATAACAGTTTTTCTTTTAATTGACAATAAACTAAAATAAATAGTTGAATAAAATAAAATACTTATTACATTAAACTGATGATCAAACTTAATACACATATAAAGCAAGCACAAAACCCCATAATTTACATAATCTATGCTCAGGATTTTGTAACATTAAATACTTCTAAAAAAAATTTTTAAAGTACTTTATAATTTATAGAAGTTTTTGTATGTGTGCCAAAAATTACAATAAACTTTCTAGCACAAAACATAATTGTTCATTATGTTGTTTTTTGTACCTTTACTGTATCATTAGTCTGCAACTAGCACTTTATGGAGATATTTTTAGTCCATGATGGTGTTACACAAATTCAATATACAAAGGCCCATCTTCATACTAATGCATCCAAATACACCATGTATTATACAAGGGGTCATCCATAAATGGCGTCACGCTCTTTTGGACGATTTTTACCTCCCCTCCCCTCCGTCACAAAAAGCCAGATCCCCTCCCCTAAAATGACGTCACACCTCAGCCTATATCCCCCTCAAAATGTCTGTTGAATTTTTTCTTAAAACGTCGATACTTTTCCAAAATCTTGTCAGAAATCTGTCAACATAGAGTATTTTGTTCAATTCCTATTGCAATTTATTAAAACCGTTTTCTTAAACGCGAAATGACGGCTAAAGCTCGTTTTCTAACATTGCTTTTTTGTAATGCAAAAGTGTGACGTCACACCATCTGAACCCCCCCCCCCCTCCCCATCATCACACACCGTCACAAAATTACGGACCCCCTGCCCTCTACGAGTGTGACGTCATTTATGGACGACCCCCAAAAGAAAAGTTCACAGTAGGCTACAAAATGTTTTAGAAAGTCAATAAAATTTTAAAAAGACTACACCAAAAAAGAAAAGTAACTTAAACTAAGATTTATTGAGACGTGAATGGTAAGTTCTACTGTAGCTCCTAAATAGGTTATAGAATAATATTTAAGAATTAAATAGAATATAATTTATATGTCCAGGTAAAAGATGAATTATAATTTATACTAGATCTACAAAGAGAAAGAAAATCTGGTCAGCTGAGATCCAATATGGCGGGAAACTTTGTAAATAAAGATTTGTTAAGTGTTTCTCGGGCACAAATAATATGAAATATTAGTCTTTCTAGACTACAAGTCTAGATCTAGATAATAATTAGATATACCAATCTAAAATTATTAGCTTTAGCCTACATTCTACATTTAAAGAATAAAAATGGATGATTCATTCGAATTGGAATATGCCGACGAATTAGAAATTTTAGGTAAGTCAGTAACTGAGGAGTAAGGAGTAAAAGTATCAAGTATTTAGTATAAAGTATAAAGTAGTAAGTCAACAAGACAAGTTGTTCGTTGAAGAGTTGAAGTTACAGTTACATATTACATAGACCTAGTTACATACAATACATTGACTAGTATAATCTAGTCTGGCGCGTTGCTTAGATGGCTGGATTGACCTCTGACCCTGAAACGTCACACGTCGTTTTTAGACGGTTTTTACGTTTATTTTAGGGGTCCCATCCACGACAAATGTAAAAACTGTTAATCTCGCAAATTCTCATCATTATTTTAATGCAGAATGCTAATAAAATGGATAATATGCCTTAGAATGCCAGAAAAAATCGAGAGATTTGTTGTTGTAAATAATGAGAGGATTTCTAGTGGAGCGCTCTCCGTAAAAACTGAATCGCCGCTAAAAACGACCGACCTCCGGGGAAAACGGCCCGACCTCCTCTAAATTAATATATAATTGAGATATTTACCTTGTATATTTACATTATTATTGATTCTGGTTTCCAATATCTTATCCCAAAATGAGGTACCCACGCTGACATTTCTATCCGCTATTTTTAGTATCATGACGTCATTGCTACGCTAGTTGCCAGACTGAAACAACTAGTTTTTGTTTTTTACGGAATGAACTGTTAAGTCTAGTATTTTAATTATAATTCAATTGTAGCATGTGTGGAAAAAGTAAAATTATGGACATTATTATTGTATTAGTAATTTTATTAGTATATTGATTTTTTCTTCACTGTGGGCCGACAGTTGCTGCATTCGTGACTGGTGGTTAACCTCGTCAAAGCTGCGTGGCCTATTCGTTTATATAATCAGTGATGCTCGTTCAGTGGCCTTTTTCATAGCTAGGCCTAATTACGGGCGATTTTTAGACTTAATTGATCGGCCGTTAGCCCTTTTCATTGCTGCGTATTTTTAAAAAAATGCTCGTTCAGCTGCCTTTTTTTTTTGGCGCTAAATAATCTGTTTACGGGCATTTTAAGCGTTTATTTATTTATTTTTTTAAGCTAGACGTAGATCTAGTTAAATTTTTTTTTATACAGCTGGCTGTCTAGCATGCCTGATATGTGAACTTTAAAAAAAATGACCGAACTTTAAAAAAAAATGACCAGAAGTAGGGAAGTATTTGCTTGAAGAAGGGGGGGGGGGGGAAGAGAGAGAAGTGAAGACACCGACCATCTCGTGTACGCGTGTTCATTCTATGACGTGTACTATAGGTCACGGTGACCCCGCGACCGTGGTGGGATTTTTCATCCACAGGATAGTAAACATAAGCAAGCAATCACGCGAGTGACGATGTTTGGAGATTTTATTTTTAAAAAAAAATCACATACGTCATGTTTTCAAGATGAAAAAAAAAATGTAATGTAAAAAAAAAAGGGGGACACTAATACCATGTATGAACCTCAGCTGCCACACTGTTGACTCAATGATTGAGTGTAAAATGTATTTGTATTTATAAACTATCTTAGCAATTACTATCATATTATTTTATGCATATTTATTATTTGAAATAAAAATATTTATTATGGTCATTTGATTTATGCAGGTGTTCATTACTTCATAAAATGGTATGAATAACATGTAGAGTAGAATTTAATAAATAATAAAATAACTAGATCTAGTTTTATTATCAACCAGTTGCTTTTTGTTATTTTCCGGTGAGTAAATAACCTAAGCTGACGCAATTACCATGGCGGGAATTAAAAGCTCGTGGACACAAGTCCACGACGTAATGTTATGCCGGTCGAGGGGATAAAACGCGGTTTTGTCTTTCATTTTCCAATATCGGAAAAATTTCAAATTCTCTCTTTTCTCGTCAACCGAGTAAGCTAGATATTTAAATGTGGTGTCAAATGTTCTCTTAAGGGGTAAGGAAGTTAATGGTGTATTTGAAATAACAGAATATTTTATTTAAAAAAATCCATAATTCAACCTAGTATAATCTTGACTAAGATTTAAAGATACTGACTTAATTTCTTAACAACTTAGTTGACCTGGGTCTGATTGAACCCCAGGGGTTCAGTGAGTCAGTCTCAGTGAGTCAGTCAGTCCCACAGGTGTTCACGGAGTTCAAGACTAGACAATACTAGACTTAACTAGACAGTAAACTTAGACACAACTCCATTATTTTATTCACCATATGTTTCATGATCCGATTTTGTCACTGAACGATAGAAGGTAAAATCTTAGTTTAGCGTCGTAAATTCGGCCAAAACTAGTAATGTGGGAGAGAGTGAATTAATGAATATGTCATTAAATATGAGTATATTTTCGTATATTTTAATAAAATATTATAAATAATTGAATAATAGATCACCATTGATGGTTAAATCAATTTAAATATCCTGAAATTAATTTTTATCAACCCTGTTCGAGATAGTAAATTTGCTATTAAAAACAGCAGCCATCTTAAGAAAATGTTATTGAGAGTAGCTTCCCTTTCATTTCTATTCATATGAAAATGTATTTAAATATGATCGTCTTGTTGTATAGTCCGTATTACAAAGCATTTTTTAAAATGTGAATTTCCTAACAAATAACTTTATTAATTCTAGAAGCATTGTGAGATGCAACTTGTATCCATGTATTAAATCACGTTTTTTCTTACTCAGAGGCGTAGCGACCCTTCCCGGGACAAACTTTTCGATTTGCACCCCCCCCCCCCTCGAGATTTCGATTTGCACCCACCCCCCTCGAGATTTCCATTTGCACCCCCCCCTCAAACTTTCGATTTGCACTCCCCTCAACCTTTCAATTTATTTTTCCAACCCATTTTGGCGCCCCCTAAGGTCGGCGCCCGGGGACATATGTCCCCCCCCCCCGTCCCCCTCGCTACGCTACTGATCTTACTATTACTAAATAGTTGTGAGTTTTTCTTATTGTTTGAATGTTCACTATTTTCATTTCAGATTTTTCTTTTCATCAGTTAGTAATTCTATCGTAACTTAAGACATTTTTTTTTACTTCTCTTTACCTTAATTAAACCCCAACCTCCGTCATATTTTTGTCGTCAATTTCACAACAAGTCATAATGTAAAAAATTACGCTTCACTCTGCCTTATCTAAGATCTCTAACCATAATTTTGACAACATTAAATGTTTGTCATCATTTACATATACAAAGAGACCAAATGTATTATCCACCAGCTTCCCTCGTAAAACATCCTCTAAAACAATGAGCCCGTCCACCCCTTAAGCGCGTGTTGTCATTATGGTCGATCCCAAGTCTCCACCTGCCAGACACATTTTGGTTATCCTTTGTTGTCAAATCGTCTATATCAAGTACACAAGTGAGTGATATGGGGTTGTCCATAAATGATGTCACAATGATGTCACATATGATTTGCTACGGGAGTGAGTGAAGATTTGTGACGTCAACTCAGGCGGCTTTGCAATTTATGACGTGTCGGTCTCATGAAAGGAGGTGAACGGGGAAAAATACCTAGGTGATTGATGGAGAACCTCTATAATGCTTTGTTCAATCAAAATAACGATAAATAAGCATTAGTATACGTATACCTTGCTTAAAACACAAATGTCGCAAGCCTGCTAGTTTAAGACATTCGGCAAAACGTCCGCAACACATTATCCCCGTCAAAAAGGCTTGCCACCAAATGCCTGCCGACGAATAAGCCGTGTCTAATGCGGGGCGTTAGGGATACGGCCATTAGCATGGGCCACGTTAGAGCACCAGTAAGCTATCGCGCTTTGTAAGATGACGTAAATACTTAAATTCAATTTCGCTAAACTGCGCGAAAATTTAGTAATGTTCCATCGTTTGAGGAAATTTATTTTCTTGGACTTAAATTGAAATATGTTGACTGTCTGGTCTGGCTCTTAATTTCCGAATATCACTTTTAATGTATCAAGATTCAGAACTATAATTTACTTTAATATAAGTGTCATCTTATCGTTTATTGTGGTTTTTAAAAAGCGCAGAGCAGCTACAAAATCGGACGGCCATCCTGTTTTCACCAAGCTTCTTTTGGAGCTTAATATGGGTAGTCTAGTTCTATACGGTGTGAGCTTAATACATTTTTAAAGGGCCGAAAGTCTCAAGACAGCAAGCTTGCAGAAATAACTACGTACGTTTAAATGGACGAGTGATAGATGTGTTAGGGGCTGTTTAATGAACACCAACTTATGTAATCAAACTAAACGTCGCGAAAGCGTCAAAAAGGCAGTGCTTATTGTTTTTTTTTCTATAAAATTAGCCTAACGGTCGGCGGTACCGCTACATGACGTCACGTGCGAGCGTTAACTCGGTGACGATGTGCTAAGTGGGGGAATGAAAAAGGTAGGGTTCAAGAAATGCGACTCGGCAAGCTTTTGACATTTCTTGACCTTTCTTAATAGTTCTTTCGTCCCCACTGAGAAAATGGATCACCAATGAATGACGCGTCATACTTCTACAGCTGGTCTTTCTCCCACAACCATCCCGTTTTCACGAGAAAAAAAAACCTGACCAGTCTCCAAAATCACATCGCTGAGTTCTACTCAACCTCTCCCCACCACAAATCACAATTTCTATCTGAAACAATATGTTCATATGTTTGCTCTGTAATAATGCACGCTGTCATTACTATCTTAAGAGCGACGTCATTTATGAGCGATCTAATATTGATTTGCTTACTGCAAATAAAGTGTTAAAAAGTTCGACCTCCCAACAATTGTTGTGGTCTTGGATGCACACTATTAAGTCTGATATGGTCTATTAGTCATTCATGTCAACTATATTTTTAAAAAAAGAAAAATTACTATACAGGGGGTCATCCATAAATGATGTCACGCTTTTTTTGACGATTTTTACCTCCCCCCCCCCCTCCCCTCCGTCAAACGTAGTCACAAAAAGCCAGACCCCCCCCCTAAAATGACGTCACACCTCAGCCTACACCCCCCCCCCCCCCCTCAAAATTGCAGTTGAATTTTTTTTAACAGCTATATTTTTCCAAAATCTTGTCTGAACTCTGTCAAAATAGAGTATTTTAATCAATTGTTATTACAATGTATTAAAACAGTTTTTTAAAACGCAAAATAACGTCCAAAATTCGTTTTGTAACATTGCTTTTTTTAAATGCAAAAGTGTGATGTCGCACCATCTGAACCCCTCCCCCTCACACACAACGTCACAAAATTACGGGCCCCCCTCCCCCCTACGAGTGTGACGTCATTTATGGACGACCCCCGGCATATATTAACCCTTTATCTACTGACGGTACTTATAAGTACCACTTTAATTAAGTGCCTGTATTATTTTTAATTTAATACGAATTTTAAAAATTATTGATGTAATTAATAGTATTATCTCCCCTGAGTCGCAGGTAGTTGGAGGAATCGATGTTTTTTGAAAATTTCTTGTGTGGCGCCATTTTCAATGTATTGCTGTATCGGTAGCTCACAATTGTTCTGTACAGTTCTCACACACGTTCCTGAATTCCCTTTGTTTTAACTTATTTTTCAAGTTTTCAACCCCAATTATTTTTTATTGGCACCTTCAATAGTCATGCAAACGCGTTTAGCTTCCAGTTATACAATTTTAATCAAATTGTCTTTGTATTAGATCGATGTTTGCAAGTGGACTTATAAGTACCGTCAGGGCACACGGTCATTTTTTTTAGGATTTTTAGGAAATGGCAGATTTTCGATATGGAGTGACATAAATATTATTTTGATAATAAATTATCGAAAAGTACTAAATAAATTATATTTACACTTTTATAAGAAGGTTAGCGTATGGTTTACCTAAGAAATATTGTAATTACATGTTGATTTTTAGTAGTAAAAGAATATCAAGAATAAAGGTAGCAGTTGCAGGCTCGTTTACTAGGTTTAGTATACTTCATTTGTTTACCAAAGCCTAGTTCTTCTAGTAAGATTTAATTTGTTAGGTATATTTGCTGCAATAAACTGTCTTGTCTACAATAACTAGCATTTACGTAATGTATACCTGTAGACTAGTAATAGTCCATACTTCTGCATATAGCATAGATCTATATGGTAAATTTTAATCAGTAAACAGAAAACAGTAGGCCACTACGGCTATCCTAACCACATTGAGCTCACTTCTATTGATGAACTTTGCACTGTAGTGTAGACTTGTCATAACATTCTAGTAGGCTACAATTATACTAGATCTAGTATTACTAGTAGTTGTGTACTGAATGACTAGGCTTTTGTTTGTTTATGCGGCTCATTGTAATAGCTATTGGAAGCTTCCAGCAAAAGCATGTTCAGTTCGGCAACCGTTGCTACACCAGAAAGACCACAGACAACTATGTGGGAGCATGACATGTCGGCAACTTTTGCTGTGTTTGAGGTCTAAGATGTGTTCCGATAGAAAATCCAGTAAAAATCGTACTCTAAATATACTTTTGTACGGTATTAAGTTGTGAAAATTACAAAAATGATTGTTATAATGATTGCCATGTTACTAGTTAATACATTGTATCGTTTATTCCTGTTTTGTAAAAAAAAATTTTTTTGGAAAAAATGTCCTACATTCCTGACGGTACTTATAAGTACCAATATCTGTTTGGGCCATTAAAAATTATTTAAACGAAATTTCCTTCGACATATGCTTTGAATGTGCCAAAAGCAATATGATAACACATTGTTTAAGACAAAATTTCATTCAGAACATAATTCCGTAAATAAAGGGTTAAAACAATACAAAACAATCATATTAAACCACAAAATCAACACAAAAGACATGCGAATAGACAATTTATTGTTTTTAAAACATGGCCGCTGCTTGTATTTACTCATTGTTGTCTCGAACGGGGTAGTTTTAAGTTTATTCCAGGATACTTATGACTGGTTTGGTCTTGGATTGTGATTTGGTATTCAATTATCTGTTATATTATGTAAAATATGACATAAATATGGCCAAATGAAAGAAATATTCATTAGTTACCTTCATCGCACATTACTAGCTAAGTTGGAATTTACGACGCTAAACTAAGATTTTACCCGATAGAATTATTACAAGAAGGGTTCAGTGAATTAGTGAATGCGCATATGAAACTTGTGTGGTTCGATACGTCCAAAAAGGTTACCTAACACTGATTGATCCAGATTAGAGAATTAGAATCTAGATCTAGATCTAGAAGATTTAGATTCTAGATCTAAATCTTCTACTAGAGCTATTTCATATTTGATCCTAAATGATAAATCTCAGATCTTTCAAGTAGTAGAGTAGATTCTATACTACTAACTGCAACATAACATTAGCACTACTCCGCCTGTGCTGGTTTTACTCACTGTTAATTCTCATTTTAAGTAAAAAACTTTTATGAATGGTGGAATTTCTACGAAGAGGTAAATTTTCAAGATGGCCGTCATTGTCATAGTTACCAAAAAATTTTACCAATTTTTGTTGTTGTTGTGGAAATGCATATTCGGATGTACCTTTAAAAAGCTGTAGAGAAAAAATTGTTTGCTCTCTAGTATTAAATTTTTTTTTTTTTAAATGGAGCCTACCCCCTTAATCTTTTTATCATTTTTTTTGTTTCCAATTTATTGTTTTGTTTAGGTGATGATGAAGACATAATTGTTCCTTGCCAAGACCCTCCAAAATCAAAGCGATCACTGAAATTTGGTACTCCTAAATCACAGAAGAACAGCTCAAAGACTCAAGAGAACAGTCTCAGTGATCATGATAGTTCACTACTAACAGAACATGCAGTACCGTCTCCTTTACCAAATGTAAATGGTGGGAACAGTACAACACGCAAGAGAGTTCAAAATAACTTTGATTCTTCTGATGATACAGATGGATTTTTAAATGATGATTTTCCTAGTGATGATTTTCCATCTTTGAGTAATAATTATTTTAAAATCCTTTTGTCTATTTTGTTTTGTTACTGTATTGAATTGAACCTGTTAAATTTAATGAATGCATTAGCATTCTGACATATTTTATTGAATTACTAGCATCCTCGAGAAAACGTCCTCGGCTCTATGATTCCAAAAAAAATGAAGATTCCCAAAAGAATGACGATTCCAAAAAGGATAACGGAAAACAATTGGACTCAGTTACTGCAGATGCCATCAGATTTATTGAGAAGTACAGGAGAGATAAGGTGGTGCAATCACTTCAAAGTACTCAGTCAAACTCTAGGCTGAATGATGGTAAAAAATAATTACCTATTAAATTTGATTATTCAAATTATATGTATCATTAATACTATACATTTCATGTTTGTTGCTTAATTAGCTGTAGTGCTGTAGCTTTTGATTCTTTCTTTAGGGAGCTAGCTGTCAGGGGTTTCATTATTATTTTTTCTTGGTAAAAATAAAAAAGAAACAAAACTGTTGAATATACTAAATGTGGTAAATCATATTTGTATTTAAAATATCACACAATCATATCGGATAAAGCCAGGGTTATTAGAAGAAATTGATAATTTATATTATTTAGAGATAAACCAAATGCATGCATTAAGAATTATTACTCTGGGATTAAAAGTGTTTGGTATAAACTCCAGGCAATAAATGGTTTAATTTTGTTGTATCTAACAGCAAAAAAGTAAAACGAAATGTTAATTACTGTCTTCATGCTTGGTCTTGCTGCCATGCTTTTGCTTCTAATATATATTCTAATAAAGCACTCAGCTTCAAATGTATCTCTGTACAGGTGAGGATATGGAACGCCCTCGAGTTCACAAACGCATTCCCAAATGTGATTTCATCAGTGCCCTCGGTTATGATGGAGAAAGAGTCTACATGAAACTCTGGAATGAAGATGTAATGGAGGCTGAGGTAGGATGGGTTGCAATATTTGCTTTACAACAGTATGTATGAGCACTTTATGGTTGATGTGTGTGTGTAAATTAAAATTTGTTCTTAAAACAGTATGTTTGAGCACTTTAGGGTTGTTGATGTGTGTGTGCAAATTAAAATTTGTTCTTAAAATATCGAGGAAGTTTTACATTGGTTTCCTCAGTATTCATGTCTTGGTAGTGATGCTCGTGCTTCAGGGCTTTTGACTACACCTGTTTGTGTTATGAAAGAGATCCTGGAAAACGAGGTAATTTTAAAATATTTTGTTTCTTTTTGCTCTAGAATAAGTATTTAAAACTTTGCTCTCAAATCTTTGTAAAATTTTTAATTGCAACACTCATTTATATTTATATTTTTACAGAACTCAAGAAAACTAATGTCAGAATCAGAAGCACTGCATGATAAAATTTCTAGGTAAAGTGAACTAAATTAGTATTAAGTGTTTGTTTTACCTATTGTTCAAAATTAGTTGGAGGTTCTTATTTTGGAAGAATATGGTTTATCAATTGTGATTTGTACTGGAATCCAACGTAAATGTTGAAGTGAGGTTGTTCAAAGTATCTCTAAGCAGTGACTCTTTTTTTAAGAGGTAACTGTTTTACAACCATTAGGTGGAAAGGCTTTTGTAAATTCATTTACTGTGTAATCATTATTTAAATTCAACAGTAACAATCTAGTAAAATATCTTTTTAACTGTTAAAATTGCTAAATATGTTTTTCCTGTTTTATTATAATAGTGTTAATAGTTTACTATTAAAAACATTTAAATCAACAAAAGGCTTGTGAGCGATGATACTGATATGGACAGTGAAAATAATACAGAGAAAATAAAAGACAGTGATGCTAGTCATTCAGTCATCTGCAGTGACAACAAAACAGTGGACAAGCTGACAGAGGATTTAAAATCTTTATGGGTTGAAAAATATGCCCCGAAAACATACACAGAACTCCTTAGTGAGGAAGTAAGTTATTATTTTAGTACTAATTGCTGATTAACTATGTAATATTATTTATTTTTTTCCAAATTTTGAATGCTATATTATGCAGTCTTTAGTATTCGATTTTGTTTTTACTAAAATATTATTATTTTAAAAAAAAAAAAGGGCCTATGTGAAAAAGGCCTTCGTACCTACTGTTGTTATCGTTAAAGAATAAATTGAAATTGTTTTACTGGAAATTTTTGGTTTAACAAGATTTAAACTGCGTTTCAGTCTATTAATTATAAGAAACCTATTTCCAGTCTATTAACAGAAGCCTCTTGCACTGGCTCAAGTTGTGGGACTATGTTGTGTTTGGCAAGGACATCCCTAAACCAACTAAAAAACAAAACAATTGGAAGAAGGAGAAAGAAAAAAATCCTAAATTTAAAAAAGCATTTCAGTCTGAAGTAGCTGAACAGTTGGATAAACACAATAGACCCGAACAGAAGGCATGTAATTGTTTAGAGAACCATATTTAAACTATCAGTCATTTCTACTGCATTGCCTTGAACTAAAAGTTATTTATTGTTGGACGTTTTAAAAATTTTCTTAAGTTATTAAAGTCTTTTCATTTAGTTTATTATTTAGAACTATATTGATACTTTCTTAACTACAAGCATTTGGTCTGTTATTATTCTAAAAAATAAAAAAGTTTTATGTTCTTAACTATAGCATGGTTGTGCTGGAATTAAACAAATAGTTCTGTGAATCTAGATTCAAATCTTTGGTTTTTGGTAAATCCAAAAATTTGGTTTAATAATGTAAATTTAGTTATACTCATGTAATTTGTCATTAGATTGCCTTGCTCTGTGGACCACCTGGCCTGGGAAAGACAACTCTTGCTCATATAGTTGCTACACATGCTGGTTATAATGTTGTAGAAATGAATGCCAGGTAAGCCGTTCAGATGATCATAATTTGTGTCTATTTTATTTTAAAAGTTGTAGAAGTTTTTATGTTAAGTGAGGTATATTATCTGGCTAGTTATGTCTGAAACCATTTTAATTTTTATTTCAAAAACTCAGTGACGATCGAAGTGTTGAAATTTTCAAAAATAAAATTGAATCAGCCACTCAGATGAAATCTGTAATGGAAGCTGACCCTCGCCCCAACTGCCTGATAATTGATGAAATTGATGGAGCTCCAGGGGTAGGTCAGAATTTTTATTTTAAAATGAAAACATTTTAATTTCAAAAAGTTTGAATTAATTTTATTTTTATTTATTTTATATTTCTACCACTTTGTAAATGAAAATGTCTCTTTAGTAAGTCAGTTTTGATCAAAATTCTCTCATGCAGCCAGCAATCAATGTATTATTGAACACGATAAAAATGTCAGAAATTGAAGCAGACAATAATAAAAAGAAAAAGAAACCAGGCCAAATCTTACTTCGTCCAATTATCTGTGTTTGCAATGACCAGTAAGTACTGATTGCCTTTTGTACTTAAATAAAATGTAGATTGAAATTTTATAAATGTCTTAGGTTTAAATAAAATAAATTTTTAAAAATCTTTTATTGTTATTTTTTAAAAATGTTCTAATTAAATATCAGATATGTACCAGCACTTAGACAACTGAGGCAGATGGCGCTTATACTGAACTTTCCACACACTGAATCCAGCAGGCTGGCTAGCAGACTACATCAGGTCATACATCTATTATTTACTATGATGAAATATCAAAATTTTAGTAAATCTTTGTAGAGTGTCAGTTTATAATAAAATGTTTTGTGACTGAAATGTTTCAGGTTGTTAAAGCAGAAACATTGAAGGCTGATCTCAATGCTCTTTTGGCACTATGTGAAAGGACAGACAATGACATCAGATCATGTCTCAATACCTTGCAGGTAATCAGAGTTACTGTCCTTTGTTTTGGGTGTAGTACATTTTAAATGGTTACTGTAAATACACCAAATGCTTTTCAGTCATATATTTTATCTGACTTGAATAACATAACTACAGTAGTTTTTATGCATGTAGCCCATACTGTAAAAAAAAAGTGCTAATATTTTAAATAGCAAGAATGTATTTTTAAAAATCAAATAAAACGAATTGATATACAAGCATTAGATAAGATGGAAACTTAATTGTATTCCCAAACTTAAAACTAATTTCCAATCAGATATTTCTCTTTTATAAATTAAAAAATAAAACAGTGACTACTCCATTTTTGTCTGTTTAGTTTGTCAAACAAAAACAGAAAGAGTTGACTCTGCGGGATGTTCAGACTATGAGTGTTGGACAGAAAGATACTCAGAAAAGTTTGTTTACAGTGTGGCATGATGTATTCACAATGCAAAGAGTGAAAAAGTATGTATTTTCTATAGATGTTACATCTTATTATAAATTGGCTTAGTCCTTGTATATTTTGGCTTTCTAAATTAGCAAATGCTAAACACATGAAATTAAGTTGTTCCAATGCAGTGTGTTTTGTTAAAGAACTTATCGTAATTTACAATAATACATGATGTATTAAAGTTAGTATTTTTAGTATTTAATCTTTTTTTTTATTAATATACAAATATACAATTGATTATGTAATTTATTTTGTGGATGTTAGATACTTATACAAATATGCAACTTGTGTATAGTACCCACAGGGTTTAGACTACTAGACATTAAAGTTAGGCTGAGTAAATCTTTGATAAAACTAATATAAGAAAGCCTAATTTGAAAACTCATTTAATGTTATGATAGTTTAGGTAATTTCTGTTGGTTTTGATTGGCATTGTTTGTTTTATTTCAGAAATAATTTTGTGAGCATTCATGACTTAACTGAAGGAAAGCAGGATGCTTTACACTCTAATACAATATCTCCATCTTCAAGGTGTGCAATTTAAATTTTCATATTGACTAATTCTAATTATCCAAAATAAACTAGTGCTTTTTCTTTAGTAATGAAGTCCGATTTATATTTACTATCTCCTTAAACTTTTTTTTGCTTAGGAATCTGAGCATTTTGAATTTCAGAGAATCCTGAATTTGATTTCTTATTTAAAATTGTATCCTATTTTAAAAAAATCTAAAGTTTGAAAGATCTTCTGTAGAAATACAATTATTTCTTAATTGCATACATTTTTGTGTTTGAATTTCCTTTTTTGTTTTATTTTGAACAGATTTGAACACATTTTAAACATCAGCCAAAGTGCTGGAGAGTATGATAGAATTTTGCAAGGGTTACATGAAAATTATTTGGAAGCAAAATCCAAAGATCCACATCTCACAGGGGTGAGTTGTTTAGAGATTAAAGATACTTTGTGACTATGATTCTGTGAACTTTTCAGATCTTTGAACAATATAGATATATTGATAAGATTTTGCTTTTATTTCAATATTTGGAGTAAGAATATAGCTGTTATTTAAAAGCTGCAGAAGTCTCCATGAGGTAGAAAAAACACATGAATTATTTATTTATAAATCTATATAATTGTGTTTGATTTCAAATATCACAATATAATTAATTATTTTTTCTATTGCAGCTCAACTTGTCTAATGAGTGGATTTGTTACGCAGATCTCACAAACCAGTATATTGCCAAAAGTCAGGACTATTCTGTTATGAAATATTCTACTTTTCTGCCGATTGTTTTTCATTTTCTCTACGCGTCATTCAGTCCTTTCCGTGTGCAGTTCCCACACAGTCAAACAGATGTGAGTTGCTTTTGTTTTAATTTGTCAAATTTATTTTCTATTATTAAATAGATTTTTTTTTTGTTTTTTTTTTTTTGTTAGCATTTATTTTTTACATTTCCTCGGATTTTTATACATTTTATTATAATTTAATATCTTTTTACTAGTTTATTTACATTCATATTTTTGTATTGTAATTATATTCTTTACCTGTATATGTGATAATACTGAAAGCAAATACTCAAATTCTCAAATTTCTGTCATTTTTACCAGGCAAACCAAAAGTTAATAAAAATCAACAATTTGCTGACGACAATGGTTACAGATATGTCTCCTATGGTCCGCAAGTTTAATAATACCAGAACCATTGTTCTTGATTTGTTGTCTCCCTTACTTGAAATTCTTCAACCAACCCTTAGACCAGTAAGTGATTAATAAATTTGTTTCAATGACCAAATTAATTAGATCAGGGTTTTTAGTTATATTATTTTGATACTTATTCATTTTAATTTCAGGTGAATACTCAGCTATATAGCACAAGAGAAAAAGAAGAGCTCTCTAATGTTGTGAAAATCATGATAGCCTACAACCTGACATATCATCAGGAAAAGTCACCTGATGGACAGTATGTTTATGCCTTGGATCCGTGAGTTGCAATTTTATTTTTAAAATGCTCCATTATATATCTTCCTTTTAAAGTTATTTTTTAAACTGAAAAAAATAAGCCAAATTTACCAATTCACTACTCAAACCCAAGGATTCTAAATATTAGATCTAAAAGAATGTCTCAATACCATGTCTCAATACCATGTCCCAATATCATGTCACAGTACCATGTCACAGTACCATGTCACAACATCATGTCACAATATCATGTCACAATATCCTGTCTCAATATCTCTCTAGAAACTTGGAAGATGTTGCCAGGCTCCCAGGTCTTAAACAGAAAAAGCAGTTGACTTATGCAGCCAAGCAAATGATTGCTAGAGAGGTAAAGAATATTTTTGGTGTTATATAAATATTTTAAGTACAATTAACTTAGGATTTTTCCATGTATTCTGTTTTCTTGTTTACAGATTGAACTAGAAAAAATGAGACGCACTGAATCTAAGCACATGTAAGTTTGATAATTCAATATTTTGGTTAATCATTTTTTCTAGTAAATAAGTATCAAGCAAACATTAATATCAAACATAAGAACTATTATCCTGCCATTTATAGTTCTGCAAATTTACAAAAACCATATCTTATTTAATCATACAATTAATATTGTAAACAAAGTTGAAAAAAAAGTGGGAAATCGAAAATTTTCTATTACCTTGTTTATCCTGTTGAAATAATTATTTGTGGAAATTTAGGAATACACAATATTTATGAAAGAAGTATGAGAAATTTTCATTATAAAGCTTATTAATATAACTCTTAGTTAAGCAAAGATTTCATAAAAACTGAAGCTTATTACATACAAATCTCTTCAAATTTTTTTTATTAACAGCCCAGTTTCTAATAAAGAAGTGAAAGAAAAAGATGTGGTCAAGTCAGCATCCCCATCAGTGCCTAACCATCTCCAAAAACTGGAGGCTAAAAGCTTACGATCAGAAAAGGTTTGTTGTGCCATTCTCACACAACAATTAGGAACACAAGTTGTACCTTATTCCAATATGTTTCCTTTCCTCCTGGTTGTGTTGGAGTATCTAGTTCACATTTTTTATTTCGGGGGGGGGGGGGGGGGGGTTAAGAACAGTAAAAACCACATTATCCTGTCAATTTTTAAGAATGTTTTAGGTCAGAACCATTGAAATGTAAAATTCATGTATGATCAATAAAGCAGATGAAGTTACCTAGAGTTAACCTTTTCTGTGATCACATCACATGAAGTCCTAATGAGGTAACTTGAGTCAGGTACCCATCAGGACTGGGTGGACTTAAAAAAGTCTAATAAACATCCTCGATAATGTAATGCTCAGCTCAGTAGCTCTAGCACTGCACCTAGCCTGGTCTAATTCCTCCAGCCAAACCAAGATTATATCTGTTATCTCAGATTTTTATCTCTGTTTCTGATTAGATGTCCATATCTATGAACTAATTTCTTAAATAAACTAGTAATAGTTTAATAAAAACATCTCGCGATGAGGTAGACTTAAATTAAACCTGATTGGCAAATACGGTATAGATTTTGTATTCTTGTAAATTAAATGTATTATTTATGATTTATTCCATTTTGTATTCTCAGCCAAGCTACAATTTTTTTGGGAATTTTGTAAAAACAAAAAGGGAGAAGCCAGTGTCAAAAGACGTTGTTGAGGTGAAAGATGGTAAGTAATCTCAACATATGTGCTAATATTCATATTTTCAAATCTTCTTTGGGGGGTTTTATATTCAGGTCAACCGACTTGTAGTTTTCTTTTATTATTTTTGATACTTTAGATACGACATTATGATTTTTTGCCTTCTTTAATGATCAAAATCATCATCAGTGTAATATCAGAGTTTTTTTTTTTTCAAATAGTTTCCTAATTGACATTCAGTATTCAGCTAATTAGCATGCGACTTCCCTAGCAAACACACCCACTAGCAAACACACCCACTCTTATGTCACAGTGGGCTGGAATTGTTAGGTCTACTGTGTCAACTTACTGTAAGCTGTGGCTAATAAAGATGGTTATTTTTAATATTCATTGTGAAACTAATATCACATGACAATCTATTGACCAATTAAACCTAGGCTTGTTCTCATAAAAATAGAGGGTTGCAGTAAAAAAATAATTGAAAGCATAGTGTTTTTTAGATTTATCATTTGGTAAAAATGAAGTATTACTTTCCTAAAATTAGGTGTATTTTTTTTTTACATAGTCTACTAGACTAATTGCAGTTTGTTCATTAAAAAAAAATAAAGTGATATAGCTGATTATTATCGAAAAAATATGCTTTTACAGAAAAATGTTTTTTGGTGTAGGCAACCCTGTATAATAGGTCTTAATGATGGTCCATTCAGTGTTTATGATTATATGCCACATGTTGAAGGTTTATTTTGGGATCTAATACACATCATATTGAAATTTTTATTTAAATCTTTTTTAAATAAAAAAATATTCTTAGCAAATTCTACCCTTAACTTCTCTCACCTCAGATAAAAGCAAGAAAGATCTTTTGGACACTGTCATTTGGTTTCACTTCAAAGAAGGATTTTCTAATGCTGTCAGGCGGAGCGTTAAAGTTCAAGATTTGTTATAATATTTATTGTCGACAAATAGAATTTGTTTTCTGTATTTTGAATGTATTGTTTGGATACAAGGCACAAAGTTGGGAACATGTTCCACCTGTTCATACACCTCTTGTGTTTGTTGCTGTGATTTATGCATTTCATTTTTATGTAATTGTTAAAACTTGATATGTATGTCTGACATAAAATATTATTTACCAATACAGAAGTATTGATTTCAAGTACTTTTTGTTTGTTATTTTACACCATTCAGTTATAACATGTGGACAAGCTAATATATTTATTTGCCTTTATTGTTGCAAGTAATTGCTATAAATTTAAAATTTAATTAAAGTGATGTAATTTAATTAATTAAAAAACAAATTAAAAAGTAGTCAATTTGTTAAACAAAAATACCTCGTCCATATCATCTTAAGACTTTAGACACTAACCACTAAAAATTTGCAAACACCTGATTCAGCCAAAAGATACTAAAAAAACTATTTTGCACTATAGCCAAGTATAGTTAAAACGGGTGATTCTTAGTTTCTTATATTAATAGAAATTCTACTTCATTTTTGTTGTTGTTCATTCATTACGACCTGAATAGTTTTTTTTTTCGTTTTTTTAATCGTTTTGATAAATTTTTAATGCTTTTGTTGTTTCCTTTTATTCTTCCTTTCACACAGTTCATTCCAGCAGGGAGCTTAATGGTTCCAGGTTAATTCACACATAAAATTTACGTTGCATACAACTACATATTATTTATTTCTTTGCATCTCTGGTGATTCTGATTTAAGTGCCAAACGTAATACATATTCATATATATTTATTTCTTAATTCACATTTGCATTAAGTGATACAGTAAGATAATATACAGTTCATTGCTTCTCGCCTTCGGTAGTTCTTAGTCGTGCTTATTGCAAGTATTGCAAATTAGTCCTCTGTATTGGGTTGTGGTTATTCTTCGTTTGTAGTTGTATCTACGTTGATATGGAGTATTGAATGAAAATCAGTAATGTCACTAGTTAGTAGTTTTGTTTTGGGGTTGTTGGTTTCCTGGTGAAGAAGATGCAAATCCTGTGGTTTTTGGGGTTTCATGGATTCTTGTTGTCTTGTATTTGGAGATGGATCTGGTCGTTGGTAAAAGAACTGGAATTCGTTGGGAGATATCTTAGTTCTAGAGTATCGTGTTTGGTGATAGATATCAAAGTTTGGCTGTGGTCTTGTGGTGACCTTTGAATCTTTGTTGATTAGTTGTGGAGTGTGAAAAGGATGAGGTGGCAATTAAAAGCTCATTTTAGATGCAGTTTTGCATTATAAATATAAAACTATGGGGGGGGGGGCAAATTGAAAGTTTGTCCCCGGGCGCCGAGAAGGGTCGCTACGCCTCTGTGATGTGGTGACGTAGTTTGAATGTAGGATGGTCTTTGGTAATCGCGGGTCTAGTGGAGAGTATCGAGTAGTTGATTCGGACGTATTTGAACATTGTTTTAATGGTATCGAAAAAGAATGTATCGGGTTGGTGGTATCAATTTGATGTTATTGTTTAGTTGAGGTGTTATTTGAGAGAAATGATGCGTTGAGTAGTCGAGAGTTGATCTATCGAGAGTTATAAGCATTGAGTTTATTTTAGTCTAGATTATCTGTTTATTTTTTTTTTAATTTTTTTTTTATGTAAGTATTCGATTATGTACAGCTGTACAATCCTTCGGTTTCACTGAAATTGTGTAGGCGATGTTGATGTTCCTGTTCGTGTCAAGGACAAATGGGGCAGACGACGTAGGGTTCATCTGCTTCAGAGATCTCGGCATATGAAGAGTTAGTGTGGTCAACACTATGCCCGGCCGCCTTTGTTTCCTTAACGTAAGTCAGGTACCCGTCGGAATGGGTGGACTCTGGGACGTTGCACTAATTTTGAACTCTAGCTCAGGGGTCGGCAACCTTTTGAAGCGGAAGAGCCAAAAGTTACAATTTTCAAAATTTCCCTGGTTTTAAAGAGCCACTAACATTTTTTTTTATTTAAAATATTTTATTTTTTATTAAGATTATTAGTATTTGTTAAAGGAGCTGGAGAGCCGCATCTTGATATCAAAAGAGCCGCATGCGGCTCGCGAGCCGCAGGTTGCCGACCCCTGCTCTAGCTCATAGCTCTCTACCACTGGATAGCAGCTTCCCATTGACTTCTTTTTTAAATAGAAAAATGTCTAGATCCTATGATGTCGTTAATAACAAAACATTTAAAAAAATACCATAACCTTTATTATCAAACTGTAATGAAAAGAAAACTATTGTGTATAGTTTTCATTTCTAGCTTTGCTTTAATTTGTTTTAATAAATTATTCTCATTTTCACAATAAACATACATAGCTTTTAAATTACTTATGTTATTGAAATAATACACTAATTGACTGACTACATTTTGCTTTTGTGTAATTTCAAATTCCAATTTATTGATTTCAGCAGTGCAATTTTGAGTAGCATCCCTTGGGCACCACATGCGTATTATCTCAACGACAAAATCGTCTCTCCCAGTGCAGGCGCCAGGTTATTTAGCGCCCAATGCAAAACATATTAAACGCCCCCTCTCACACAAATTAATTGCTAAAACATATGTATAAGAAAACAATTAATTAAAACTGACAAATTAATTTATTATCAATTGCATGCACATCATACGTAGACATCCAAATAAAATTTTACTTGCCGCCTTCGTCTCAAAAGTTTGTACCAATTCCTTCAATTCCAGTTTGCAAGCGTAATCACATTTTATTGAAATTGTTGCTAAGTCCACAAGTCTACTTTATACTTTACGTCAGCTTACGACATAGCCCCCCCCCCCCCTTAGAAAGTTTTAAGTTTTCCCCCCTCCCCCCTCCCGGGAGAAAAAAAAAAGTCTGAAAAACAAAAACACTGAAAAAAAAAAAGTTCTTGTATTGTTGGATTCTCTGCAGTCCTCCCAAGGTGAGGTTCCAAAACGGAACCTACCTCTTTTAAGGTTGACTGTCTTTAGTTATAAAAAGTCTATATTGTGTGATTATGTAACGTTTTTTTGTTTTTGAAAAATAAAAGGTTATAAATGTTATAGATTACAGGCTAAAATTTTTATATATGAATCCGTTAGGAGAGGGTGAAAAATATGAAAAGACAATTAATTAGATGTTTAATTTATGACTAAGACTGTACATCTACTTATAGGACATCATTAAAACACATCTATTTATAGGACATCATTAAAACACATCTACTTATAGGACATCATTAAAACACATCTACTTATAGGACATCATTAAAACACATCTACTTATAGGACATCATTAAAACACAACTACTTATAGGACATCATTAAAACACATCTACTTATAGGACATCATTAAAACACATCTACTTATAGGACATCATTAAAACACAACTACTTATAGGACATCATTAAAACACATCTACTTATAGGACATCATTAAAACATTCTACTTATAGGACATCATTAAACAACATCTACTTATAGAACATCATTAAAACACATCTACTTATAGGACATCATTTAAAACACATCTACTTGTAGGACATCATTAAAACACACCTACTTATAGGACATCATTAAAACACATCTACTTATAGGACATCATTAAAACACATCTACTTATAGGACAGGACATCATTAAACAACATCTACTTATAGGACATCATTAAAACACATCTACTTAAAGGACATCATTAAAACACATTTACTTATAGGACATCATTAAAACACATCTACTTTTAGGACATCATTAAAACATGTATAGTTATAGGACAGGACATCATTAAATCTACTTATAGGACATTACGAAACGGGAAATCTCGAATGTTTACTTGAGTATCAGCCACAACATATTAAACGACGGATTAGCGAGCTATATAAAGTACGTCTCTATTGTAACGACGTGGGATTTAACATTGTCCAGAATACGGGGGGGGGGGGGGGGGGAGATCACGTGATATTGATGACGTAGTACAAAAGTACTGGCCTTTGCTTGCTAAATTTGATATATAAGTTTAATTTATATAACATGTCACAAAGCTCTAGAAAGTGGTCAATATGTATACAGATAAGCATGTCTGTATTATATACAAATGTTAAGAAAAACAAGGATTAGCTGTTTAAAAAAAAATTAGAAGTGTATTTGGGCGTGGGGGTCAGGGAGGCGGGAGTGGGTGTTGAGTTTAGTCTTCATTCCCTTGAGATGGAATTGGCCTAGATATTTTAACTAACTAGAAAGGGTTTAAAAATTGAAAACTTCCTGGCACATCGATAATTTAAATATAAATGAAGTGAGCGTTTATTATGCTAATCTAAGATATAGTTGAGCCTGTTTCGTGGTACTAAATTATTGTATTATATACTATAGTATTATTTTATATCCAAAGTATTATATCATGTGTACTTTTATCAATAAAAAAATTTCAACGAGTTGCATTTACATTTTTTTTTTATAAAGTTTGATAAAAGGAACAGTTAATTAACAAATGAAATAGATATTTGAAAATTAGCCTAAAACGTCCGGCAACTTCGTTCTTACATTCTTAGAAAAAACAATTTCATTGTTATTCCCCTTGATAGCGGCCTTGTCCCCATTACCGATTGTCACTCCGCACACAAAAATACATTTAAAAGCTGTCACTTTAGCTAAGTATATTTAGTTTCTTGTCCAATATCAATATGTCTTAGGTAGAGATAGCGCGAACAACATGTGTTCCGGATTGATCGGGTTTTAGGAGCACGTGTCACCTCAATCCTGAACAATCCGGTTTCCCGTTTTGGGGCACACATTGACGAATTTCAATTTCCTAGAGGATTAGGGAGGGAAGTAAACAATGAGGGGGGGGGGGGGGGGAGGGGAGGGTTTGTTTATCGCAACTAGTTTAATATGTTTGTGTAGGTTAGTGGGTAGCTCTGTGTGGGTGTGGGTAGCTCTGTGTGGGTGTGGCTAGCTGAGTTATGTGTGGGTAGCTGAATTATGTGTGGGTAGTTGATTTATGTGTGGGTAGCTGATTTGTGTGGGTAGCTGATTTGTGTGGGTAGCTGAGTTATGTGTGGGTAGCTGATTTGTGTGGGTAGCTGAGTTATGTGTGGGTAGCTGATTTGTGTGGGTAGCTGATTTGTGTGGGTAGCTGATTTGTGTGGGTAGCTGAGTTATGTGGGTAGCTGATTTGTGTGGGTAGCTGAGTTATGTGGGTAGCTGATTTGTGTGGGTAGCTGATT